TGAGCCAATAAGTGCACGGAGGAGCGGAAGGCCGGACTCGGCAGCATGCAAAATGGTGTGTTTGTTGACATCTCTAGCGAACGCGTTCGCCCGCTCACCGCTCCCCGCTCCCCGCTCGTCACCGTCTCTCATCAATCGATGCGTGACTCCACCTCTCGCAGTCGATTTTTCAGAGATGTCAACAAACACACCATTTTGCATGCTGCCGAGTCCGGCCTTATTGGCTCAGACGTTTTTCTGAATTAGGCGATAATAATTACGATTTTGTAAAATTTTATATAACTTTTCTTCTCAGTTTAACCCAATCTACTATAATCTTTGGGGTCGTCCATATCGAATCTGACACCCTGTATATGTTATTATAGTAATAAAAGTAAATTTTGTAATCTGGGATTTTGAATGCCATAGTATTCATAATATAAGTCTTCTTACATTATTTACGCAAATTAACTTATTTTATTTTATTTGTCAGCATATTCTTTATCATATTTAATAACTAAACAATATGTGTTTAATAATTACCTTCCTTTTTCCACCAAAAAATTCCGATTCTTATCGTACAGCTTATGGCCGGTAAAGTGAGTTGTAAATTGTCTATCATTAGCATGATATCTCCCGAAATCCTTATCAATGAATGTATAGAAGGAATCACCACGCCAAACATTACTCCCAGGAATACGATGAACGCCCGAAAATTACACATTAACTTCTGTCGAGGGCTCTGTGCGGTTTTAGGCCAAAGCCCAATAAAATTTAAAGTCAGACGATTTAGTTTCACCGCCCATTCGAAATCTACCTGTAGAAACTTCAGTAAGTCGCAGCTCATGAAAAGAATCAACATTTATTATAAAACGTGTAACATGGTAGGCTTAGTAAAGTGCATAAAATGGAATATTTGAACGCAACTGTTTTTATATGAAAAATTAACAATTATTTTTTATTAGTGAATAATTCAAAAGTTATTTATCATGTAGTAAATGATTTACTTTAAATACTTGTGATGACTGTGATGATATGAAATGGCTAATATTTATTAAAATATTAACGTATGGTAAACTCAGCATAATAATAAAAAAATTATATTTTTATTAAAAACAACAAAATAAGATGCCACAAAGTTTTTTAGAAATTTACTCCCTTTTTGGTCACAACAATCACAATGTTAAGCACCTTGATATACGGTATATTTCGATCCTTCCATATTGAATGTTGTCTAAAGAATGGCATCTGCTTCCTTTCCAGAAAATAACGTTTCTTCTATGCAGTAGGAGTCGTTTCGCACGCATGCTCTCTGTGTTACTCATAAGTATCGAACGATCAACTTGCAGAAATAAGTTTTAAAACTTTTAAATATTCTGCCTCCCTTCATTTTAAGTATTCAACGCTAAACATCACGCGAAGTAATAAAAAAAGTTTTCGTAATACCAGATCGTTATGTCACATAGAAAACGTCCGTGTGGACACTTGTTATATTCACACGTTTTTGCTATCAGTTATAACTTATAACAGAGCTCTCGACGATTTGCACTTCGCGGTTGATATTAACGAATCAACGCATGTCTCTCCCTACTCGAGTCGCTTGTCAACCGTAACCAGCGTTGACTCGTAAAAATCAGCCGATCAGTGCAAATAGTGGACAGCTTTGGATTATAACATTACTATACTTGTGTTAGCAATGGACTACGTAGAATCCATCGTTGTATGTACACACATAGTCTTTAGTTTTTCAGGTAAATAAATATTCCGATTACGAACAATGATATCTAGTTATTAAGTGTGTGAGAAATATTATAAATACATTAATTCAAAATAACAATATGTTATAACTTCAATAGCCCAAATATTGATGTTTTAATTATTGAGTAATATTCTTTTCTTGTCATTTATTCTTTATCGATTATTGACATTTAGTCATTTAAGAATTTTTTAAACGTGAAACTGGTGTCTCACGTAACCGTTGAAAATTTGGATAAAAACAGACGAGTCAGCATAGCTCACATACTTTCCTATATTCCCACATACATAATTAATATGGACTTGTTTCGTAAAAATTTCATATTTTTCTGGTTTGAAAGAGAAAATTGAGTTTAATCGCAGATTGTTTTGCTTCCAATTATCTATAATAGTGAAAATTCCAACACACTTCTATCAAATCATGCAGTAAAATCTATCATTTATTTGCTTTAATATTTACACTACCCTTAGCTTATTGCACTTTACAAAAATAACATGTTAGTAGAAAAATTTTAGCTTTATCAGATATTTCTAATAACTTCTCGTCGTATGTAAAAGAGACACATATCCGACCGATGTTTTTATTAACTGAAAAATATATCTTATTAGTCATGATTAATAATGTACTACATTTGTAATTACACATAAGGTTTAAAATATGTGTGTTGGGTGGGGGATATGCGCGTGCGTGTTGTGCGTGTGAGCGCGTGTGCACCTGATCGTTTACATCTGGCTTGTACGACGCGTACCGAAGAATGACTATTGGGACACAAATTTATTCCAATCTACCTCCATATTTCGATTTGTCACATTTATGTCAGACCCTATACATATAAGATGAAGTTCACAGAGGTAGACATGATACACACACACGCACACGCACCCACAATGGATGTTCCGAAATTAGAGGATAATAAGATTGCAGCACGAAAGTTTCGTGAAAAAGTAAGTACTGAAATTACATTTTTGAAAATGTGCCATTTTTAAAAAGTGCCAATTTTTTAAAATAATATTTTAAGTATATAAAAGTTTAAAATATAACCAATATATGTGTTGATTAAAGAGTCATTTGTCTGCGTGTCGCAATGGTATTAGATATCAAACGCATTCGCGATTACCAACAAATGACAGATGTTCTAATAGGTGTGAATAACCCTTTAACTAATACTTATGCTTAGTTGTTGTACTTTAAACTCTTACATAGGTATACTTAAAATACTGCTCCAATTAAAAATATAAAATGCACTTTTATTGCTTAATTTTATACAAACTTTGTGCTGCACTATCCTCAAATTTTGGGATACCTAATAAATGCAATAAAATGTAAATTATATTGAAGAAAAATATTTAAATTATGATGTCATTTTCAAATACTTTGGCACAATCATTATAATTAAGCACTAAAATACCTTACATTGCAAAATGTGGTCATTGTTAGGGGAAACATTTTTCCAGCGGTGAGATAAATCGGTTTAGCTCCTCTCATGAACAAAAACAACAAGTTGCGTGCAAGCTTTGGATCCACGGAATACCATTCATTACTGTAGGCTCCATAATACAATGCATCACACTAAAAAGTGATAAAAGTTTATTTAATTAAAATTATATACATATATATATATTATACTGTAAGGAAAGTAATTTAGCCATTGATGCTCAAGCAATTTGTGCTCTTATGTAAATTATATATTAATATGTTCATGTAAATCAAGAATGCAACAGACAACTAATTTATCTACTTAAAATGTTTTAATAAATACAACTTCGACAAAATTAAATTTAATACAAATGACATTATATCATCATCAAAATGTTATATTTTCATACTAATTTTATTTCTGTTATGTGCTTATGTATAATAAGGGTTGAATTTTATATTAACACTAACATCTTTCTTAAATGTCATCTAAAGGTCCATTTACATATATTCGTGAGACGCATCAGTGCCGTATCCGCTCAGTTCCGTGCTTTTCTACCAATATAGTCATGGAAAATATTGTCCTTTTGTTTTTTAACTTGTTCACACGCCCTGCACTATTTCGTATTTCTTAAGTGTGAATAACCGTTACTGATACGTTAGAAATGTCACTGACACGGCACCGAATATGTGTTAATAGACTATACATATACATCTTAGTAATATAAATGTAAAGTAAAACAGAACACATATAACTTATACAATGGTTATTGACAAATAAAGAACGTAACTTACTTTGGCCACCAAAAATTCGCCTAGAGCGCAGTATAAACACACATGTCCAAATATATTGAAAATCGTGGATACAAAGTATATCAAACTTGCTACTGATAAATCATTTCCTTCGTCGAATAACTATTAATTTAGAGAATACATAAGAACATGTGATAAATCATAATTAAAAGTAGTTTAGTTACTTATCATAATGCATCGTATAAATTTACAGCCATTGACAAAATTATTAAGCACCCGTCTAATCATTATACTAATCATTATCATCATCACCTAGAAGATTTCTGCTTTAAAAAATTGTTTAGTTACACGTTAATTGCTCCTATACAGTAAATCATTCTTAAACAATAAAAATGTTTCTAGTATTCCATTCAGTACAGTATACATTGGAAATTTAAGGGTGTTACTTTTATGCACCCACACCTATAATTTGGTGAAGAATTTTTTATATGCCTCTTTCCGTTCAAAATCACAACATATCACTTAATATACGTTACTGCACACATTTCTCGCAATTTAAAAAGATTATTTTTAAACAGCAAGAAATGTCTAAATGACGTTTTGTATCAATTCACGTGTCGTGATTTAAAACAGAAGAATCCAAAAAGTGCTTCATCAAACTACGCATACGTAATATGTATATAATATGTATACAATAATAAAAGTAGCACACTTAGTTTGCAGGAAAATGATCAGGCGGGTGCCTAATAATGTTGTCTATAGCAGTAGCAACATACTTAAACTTCATAACTTATTTAGTATTCTTTAGTTTTGCGTTTAAAATGTGTTAATCAGCAAAGTTTTATGTGTAAATATTTGCACACTCACGTTAATTATCCGGAAACCGAAGAAAGCTAAATGTATTGCAAAATATACGAACAAAGCTAAAAGTGTTATATTATATGTGTCTTCAACAATCTCGATAGCCCTATAAAACATACCATTTGTAATAGAGACATTTAATTAACACACATATTTCATGCAAATTAATTACGTGAATTTATATAAATATCAAACCTAAGTAAACTAATATGCTTTGCTACACAGCTCTTTAGCATAGTGTGAGAAATGATATATTTATCCAGATACGTCAAACGATTTTTAAGAATATCCAATTGACCGCATATATGGAAGATTAGTAATCCAAGAAAATTGTCGATTCCAGAATAAGACATCATCGCGAGAACCATGCCGATTGCTTGACTGAGAAACGTTAATTCGTACTGCGGTCTTTTCGTTATATCATAAATATAATATGATTGTAGAGGCATAGGTCTGCCTGGATCAGTAATATTGGGTGTCAGTCTCATTGATATTCCAAAAGTCGGGAGAACGATAGAAAAGAAGCATGCTACTCCCATTATGCAGTAAGCGCAAATAATAATAACGCGTGCATACTGCGCATGTCTAATCATGATCTTTCTGTCTTGAACAGTTTTCGATTTTACCCAATCCTCCACGATCATATTCATGATCGGTACGATAGCTTCAAAAGTGTCAATGTTAAATATGAAAATGCGTATTGAACAATGTTATTACAGTAAGAATTTGTTATCATATTTTATAACTTAACGATATGGGTTTAATAATTAGCTTACCTTCCTTTTTCCACCAAAAAATTCCGATTCTTATGGAACAGCTTATAGCCGGTAAAGTAAGTTGTAAATTGTCTATCATTAGCATGATGTCTCCCGAAATCCTTATCAATGAATGTATAGAAGGAATCACCACGCCAAACATTACTCCTAGGAATACGACGAACACCCGAAAATTACACATTAACTTCTGTCGAGGGTTCTGTGCAGTTTTAGGCCAAAGTCCAATAAAATCTAAAGTCAGACGATTTAGTTTCACCGCCCATTCGAAATCTACCTGTAAAAACTTCAGTAAATCGCAGCTCATGAAAACAACCAATCATGTATATGAACCAAATTTAATGCAAAACGTGCAACATTAGGCTTGCTTCCTGTTGCTACACTGGTGAACTAGTGCATTGAATTCGAGTAAAACAAGTATATTTTTTCTCAATCTACTTTACAGCACTAGTTCACCGGTGCAGGAACAGAAAACAAACCTAGAGTATGTTTAATAAAGTGCATAAAATGGAATATTTGAAAGCAAGTGTCTTTATATAAAAAATTAACAATTATCTTGTATTAGTAAATAATTAAAAGATTATTTAAAATGCATTAAATGTCTATTAAAAATGATTTCTTTAAATACTTATGATCACCATAATGATATGAAATGGTCAATATTTATTAAACTATTATGGTATAGCAAACTCTGCATAATAATTAAAAAATAATATTTTTTTAAAAACACCAAAATAAAATGCCACAAAGTTTTTTTAGAAATTTACTGCCTTTTTTGGTCACAACAATCACAATGTTAAGCACCTTGATATACGGTATATTTCGATCCTTCCATATTGAATGTTGTCTAAAGAATGGTATCTGCTTCCTTTCCAGAAAATAACGTTTCTTCTATGCAGTAGGAGTCGTTTCGCACGCATGCTCTTTGTGTTACTCATACGTATCGAACGATCAACTTGCAGAAATAAGTTTTAAAACTTTTAAATATTCTGCCTCCCTTCATTTTAAGTATTCAACGCGAAACATCACGCGAAGTAATAAAAAAAAGTTTTCGTAATAGCAGATCGTTATGTCACATAAAAAACGCCCGTGTGGACACTTGTTATATTCACACGTTTTTGCTATCAGTTATAGATTATAACAGAGCTGTCGGCGATTTGCACTTCGCGGTTGATATTAGCGAATCAACGCCTATCTCTCCCTACTCGAGTCGCTTGTCAATCGTAATCAACGATAGGCGTTGACTCGTGAAAATCAGCTGATCAGTGCAACTAGTGGGCAGCTCTGGTTTATAACATTACTATACTTGTGTTAGCAATGGAGTACGTAGAATCCATCGTTGTACATACATAGTCCTTAGTTGCGCAGGTAAATAAATTTTCAGATTGCTAACATTGATATCAAGTAAGTAAATGTGTGAAAAATATTACATATATGTACTTACAAATACGTTAATTCAAAATAACAAATGTTGACTTCAAAAACTCATACGGCATTATGTTTCAATTATTAAGTAATATTCTTTTCTTGACATTTATTCTTTTAATAGTACATTATTTTCTAGTTAACGAGATGCGTATATAATTCATAATAAGAAGTTTAGAAACTTGAAACTCGTGTCTCACGTAACCGTTGAAAATTTGTATAAAAACAGCCGAGTCAGCATAGCTCACATTTTTCCTATATTTCCATATGCATAGTTAGTATATAAATTAATATTTAACAATTGTATTTGGGGCGAAAAATGTCATATTATCTGCAATTTTTCAAGTCTGAAATACAAAATTGAGTTTAATAGCAGATTGTTTTGCTTAGAATTATTGTATCTATAGTAGTGGAAATCCCAACACATTTCTGTCAAATCATGCAGTAAACTCTATCATTTATTTGCTCATTTTTATATTTATATACACAACACTTAGTTTATCGTATTTTACAAAAATAACATATTATTAGAAAAAGTTTAGCTTTATTAAACATTTTTAATAACTTCTCGTCGTATGTAAAAGAGACACATATCCGACTGACGTTTTTATTAACTGAAAAATATATCTTATTAGTGACAATTAATAAAAATACATTTTTAATCGCATATACAGTTTAAAACGTGTGTGTGTGGGGGGGGGATATGTGCAATGCTTTAGCACAATAATTGTAATTAACTAAAATACCTTACATTGCAAAATGTGGTCATTGTTATGGGGAACATTTTTCCAGCGGTGAGATAAATCGGTTTAGCACCTCTTATCAGCACATGCAACAAGTCGCGTGCAAGTTTTGGATCAACAGAATACCACTTATTACTGTAGGCTCCATAATACAATGCATCACACTGAAAAGTGTTAAAAGTTTATTTAATTAAAATTATACACATGTGTATTATTCTAAGAGAAAAGTAATTTAGTTATTGATGCTCAAGCACTTTGAGTGTTCCCCTTTAAATTATTTATCAATATATTCATATAAATAAAGAATGCAATAGATGACTAGACAACCAACTTATCTACGTGAAGAGTTATAATATATACAACTTTTACAAAATTTAATTTAATATAAATGATAAAATGTTCAACATCAATACATTTGAATTTTATTGAATTGCATTGAATTTTATTGTACTTTAAGAGCACATCTAACTTGTGTACTGTTTACATAAAACTAAAGAATGTAACTTACTTTAGCCACTAAAAATTCGCCTAGAGCACAGTATAAACACATGTGTCCAAATATATCGAAAATCATGGATACAAAAAATATCAATTTGGCGAGAGATAAATCATTTCCTTCGTCGAACAACTATTTAATTTAGAGAGTATGTAAGAATATATAATATTTTACAATTAAAATTATTTCGGATATTTCTCGTAATGCAGCGTGTAAATATAGTAAAGTAACTTAAATGTCCAAACTTTTTATTTACTTTTGCGTTAAACATTTATTAATAAGCAAATCTGTATATATAAATGTTTACATACTCACACTGATAAGCTGGAAACCGAAGAAAGCCAAATGTATCGCAAAGTATACGAATAAAGCTAAAAGAGTTATATTATACGTGTCTTCAACAATCTCAATAGCCCTGTAAACAATACCTTTTGTATTAGAGATATTTAATTAATATAAATACTTCGTATAAATGATTTAGGTAAATTCATAAAAATATCAAACCTAAGTAAACTAATATGCTTTGTCACACAGCTCTTTAGTATGGTATAAGAATTGATATATTTATCCAGATATGTCAAACGATTTTTAAGAATATCCAGTTGGCCGCATATGTGGAAGATTAGTAATCCGAGAAAATTGTCGATTCCAGAATAAGACATGATCGCGAGAACTATGCCGATTGCTTGACTAATATACGTTAATTCGTACTGTGGTCTTTTTGTTATATCGTAAATATAATACGTTTGTAGAGGCATTGGCTTGCCTGCATCAGTAACATTGGTGGTCGATCTTATTGACATTCCAAAAGTCGGAAGAATGATTGTAAAGAAGCATGCTACTCCCATTATGCAATAGGCACAAATAATAATAATGCGTGCATTCTGCGCATGTCTAATCATAATCTTCCGATCTTGAACATTTTTTGATTTTACCCAATCCTCCGCGATCATATTCATGATGGGTATGATAGCTTTAAAAATGTCAATGGTAAATATGCAAATGAAAATTGGATAATACAACTAAATTCAACTAAACACTGTGCCCATTATGTAATGAAAATGTTAAAATAAAAAGAAATCAATATTATTGTATTTTTTAGAGCAAAATACTATATATATATTATTATAGTAATAAAAATCAATTTTATAATCTGGGATTTTGAATGTACAGTGTTCACAATTTAAGCTTTCTTACATTATTTATATAAATTTGATTTTATTTGTAAGCATACTCTTTATCACATTTTATAACGATATGGGTTTAATAATTAGTCTACCTTCCTTTTTCCACCAAAAAATTCCGATCCTTATCGTGCAGCTTATAGCCGGTAAAGTAAATTGTAAATTGTCTATCATTAGCATAATATCTCCAGAAATTCTTATTAATGAATGTATAGAAGGAATCAGAACACCAAATATCAGTCCCAGAAAAACGATAAACACTCTAAAATTACACATTAACTTCTGTCGAGGGCTCTGTGCAGTTTTAGGCCAAAGTCCAAGAAAATCTAATGTGATACGATTTAGTTTCACCGCCCATTCGAAATCTACCTGTAGAAACTTCAGTAAGTCGCAGCTCATGAAAAGAATCAACCATGTATATGTATAAACCAACATTTATGCAAAACGTGTAAGATAGTATGTTTAGTAAAATGCATAAAATGGAATATTTAAAAACCACTGAGTTTTATATTAATGTACCAAATCACTAATTACTTTTTATTAATAAACAACTAAAAAATAATTAGAATGTAGTAAATGTCTATAAACATAATTTACTTTAAATACTTATGATGACTATAATGATTTAAAGAATGGCTAATATTTATTAGAATATTAAGTTATGGCAAAATTCAGCATAATAATAAGAAATAACATTTTCATTCAAAACAATAAAATAAAACGCCATAAAGTGATTTATAAATTTACTGTGTACTTTGTCACTCACAGCAATGACAACGCTAAGTACCTTGATATGCGGTGTATTTCGATCTTTCCATGTTGAATGTTATCCGAAGAATGGCATCTGCTTCCTGCCCAGAAAATAACGTTTCTTCTATTCAGTAGAAGTCGTTTCGCACGCATGCTCTTTGTGTTACTCATAAGTATCGAACATTCAACTTGCAACAATAAGTTTTAAAACTTTTAAATATTCTACCTCCCTTCGTTTTAAGTATTTAACGCTAAACATCACGTGAAGTAATAAAAAAAGTTTCCGTAATAGCAGATCGTTATGTCACATAAAAAACGCCCGTGTGGACACTTGGCATATTCACACGTTTTTGTTATCAGTTATAGCTTAAAACATCACTATACTTACGTTGGCATGGACTATATAGAATTCATCGTTAGGCATAGTCTTTAATTTTACAGGTAAAGAAGATTTCAAATTGTTAATATTGATATTTAGCAATTAAGTTGCGAAAAAATTAATTACAAATACATTAATTTAATATGACACATGTTGTTTGTGATAAAAATTTATACGTTTTAAATTAATTATTCAAAAATATTTATGAATTATTAAAATTCTTTTAGTGATGTTTAGTTTTTAATGATTATTGACATTAATTTTTTAAATAGTAGAACTTCATAAAGTAGAACTTTATATTTCTGTTAAATCGTGCAGGAAAATCTATATTTTATTTGCTTATATAACATTTTAATATTTACACTCAGTTTATCGCTTTCTAAAAATAACATATTCCTACAACAATTTTAGCTCCATTTGATATTTCTAATAACCTCGCGTCGTATGTAAAATAGATATATATCCAACTGACGTTTTCATTAACTGAAAAATATATCTTTTTAGTATGGATAATTAATATTGTAATAAATTTATATTCACATTTAAAATGGAGGTGTGAGTGCGGGCGATTGTAAATGCGCGCGTGCGTGTGGAGGGTGTCCAACGTAAAAATGACCAACTAGAAACGATAGGGTGGAATAAACTGAAGAAAAAAGTTACGAACCACTTCGTAAAATTCGCAATAGTTATCGAGTAATAAACATCTGAGCGAATAAGTGCATGTAAAGCGGTGTGTGTGGGTCTTAATTGTGGATCTCGGCGCGCGCTCATTCGTCCCATTTCAAAAATTAATTTCTCGTTTATTATTGAAAATATCACAAAATGGTACGGGACTTTTTCGTATATGTCTGTCCGTTCTACCTTCTCACAAGTTGCAAAACTTTCTCGCAAAACTATGTATGATTCATCCTGTATGAAGTTGCAATAAATTATTTATAAATTATTAAATTAGTGAAAAGTGGATTACTATTTGGAAAATATTTAAATTGCGATGCCATTCAAATTCTTTAGCATAGTGCAATAATTATTATTAAGCACTAAAAAATTTTACATTGCAAAATGTGTTCATTGTTATGGGGAACATGTTTCCAGCAGTGAGATAAATCGGTTTAGTTCCTCTTATCACCAAAAGCAACAAGTCGCGTGCAAGTTTTGGATCCACGGAATACCATTCATTACAGTAGGCCGCATAATACATTTCATCACACTAAAACGTGTTTATGATCTTTATAATTAAAATTATATACATCGTTCCATAAGAAAATTAATTTAACTATCGATTTTAAAGAAATTTATATTCTCATTTAAATTGTATATTTATAGAAAAAATCCCCCTATTAAAAGATAGTCTTGTAATATAACATAACAGGTTTTCGACTTTTAAATTTAATGTAAAACATTTTTTAAACCGATTAAACAATTTAAAAATAAACTTTCCATTACAAAGATTTCACGCCAAAGACAATACATTCGTGGTGGAACCAACAGATGATGTCTATTAATTTTGTTCACTCTTAGCAAAAACCCAGCTATATCATATTCGGAACTATCTCATAATAGTGGACTGTCCTCTATGTATATTGTCATGTAATTTGTTTATATGAACACACAATTGTATATATATTTACATATGTAATGAATGGAACAATTAATTTCTTTACTTGAAAGTTTTATTAAATTTTTCAATATATTTTTAATGAATGCATATGATTTAATATAAATAACATAAAAATATTATTAACTTATTTCTATAATATATTTTACTACCGCTTTTACTTTGGCTATTCCCTGTTTATGCACGATATATATTGAGTGGTACTTTAATATCATATAAATATCATATAAATATCATATTAATATCATATAAATTAAATATCATACAAATCATATAATAACATAAATATAAGCAAAACAGAGCATATTTAACTAATGCGATGTTTACATAAAAGTAAAGAATGTAACTTACTTTGGCCACCAAAAATTCGCCTAGAGCACAGTACACACACATATGTCCAAATATATTGAAAATCGTGGATACAAAGAATACCAACCTTGGGATTGACAAATCATTTCCTTCGTCGAACATCTAATAATTTAGAAAATATATGAGAACATGTAATAATTCAGAATTACAATTATTTTAGATATTTTTAATCATACATAATATAAATTATAAACAGTACAAGATTAATATAATACAGATGTTATTGCGTTAATAACTTTTAATATTTATTCTTGAGGTGAAAATTGATTAATAAGTTGTAAGTAGATCAAAATTATTAATAATAAGTTCCATACTCACTGTAATTACCCCGAAACTAAGAAGAGCAAACAGTATTGCGAAGTATACAAATAATGATAGAAGTATTATTCTATATGTATCTTCGACAACCTCAATAGCACTGTAAAATATAACTTTTGTATTAGACATTTGATTAACTACATATTTCATGCAAATTAATTATATGAATTTATATAAATATCAAACCTAAGTAAACTATTATGCTTTGCTACACAGCTTTTTAGCATAGCTTGAGAATTGATATATTTATCCAGATATGTCAAACGATTTTTAAGAATGTCCAGTTGGCCACATATATGGAAGATTAGTAACCCGAGAAAATTGTCAATTCCAGAATAAGCCATGATCGCGAGAACTATGCCGATTGCTTGGCTAATAAATGTTAATTCGTACTGCGGGCTTTTAGTTATGTCATAAAAATAATACGATTGTAGAGGCATAGGTCTGCCTGGATCAGTAATGTTGGGTGTCAACCTTATTGATATTCCAAAAGTCGGGAGAACGATAGAAAAGATGCATGCTACTCCCATTATGCAAAAAGCACAAATAATAATAATGCGTGCGTTCTGCGCATGTCTAATCATGATCTTTCTATCTTGAACATTTGTCGATTTTGCCCAATCCTCCGCGATCATATTCATGATCGGTATGATAGCTTCAAACGTGTCAATGTTAGATATGTAAATGCATATTGAACAACACAACTAAATTCAACTAATTGTAAGAACTACATATGTCCATTATACAATAGAGATATAGTAAAATGAACAAAAATTAATATTACTTTTATTGTAATTATTTGCAGCAAAACTACTATATGTCTATGTTATTAAAAGTAATGAAAACAAATTTTGTAATCTGGAATTTTTATACACAGTATTCAAAATTTAAGTTCTCTTACATTATTTATATAAATAAAGTTATTTGATATTATTTATAAACATATTCTTTATCACATTTTATAACTTAACGATATGGGTTAAATAATTAATTTACCTTCCTTTTTCCACCAAAAAATTCCGATTCTTATCGCACAGCTTATGCCCGGTAAAGAAAATGGACAGTTGTCTATCACTAGCAAAATATCTCCAGAAATTCTTATTAATGAATGTATAGCAGGAATCAGAACGAAAATTATTACTCCCAGGAGTACGATGCATGCACGAAAATTGCACATTAACTTCTGTCGAGGGCTTTGTGCGGTTTTAAGCCAAAGTCCAATAAAATCTAAACTCTTACGATTTAGATTCACCGCCCATTCGAAATCTACCTGTAGAAACTTCAGTAAGACGCAGCTCATAAAAAGAACCAACAATGTATATAAACCAACATTTAATGCAAAACATGTAAGATAATATGTTTAGTAAAATGCATAAAATGGAATATTTAAAAACTATTGAGTTTTATATTAATATAACAAATCAACAATTATCATTTATTAATAAATAACTAAAAAATTATTAGAATGTAGTAAAGGTCTATAAAAATGAGTAACTTTAAATACATATGAAATTACACGGCTGATATTTATTAAAATAATTAGGTATGGCAAAATTCAGCATAATAATAAAATCATATTTTCATTAAAAACATCAAAATAAAACGCTACAAAGTCTTTTATAAATTTACTGTCTTTATCACTCACAGCGATGACAACGCTACGTACCTTGATATGCGGTATGTTTCGATCTTTCCATGTTGACTGTTATCTGAAGAATGACATCTGCTTCCTTCGCAGAAAATAATGTTACCTTCTATTCAGCAGAAGTTGTTTCGCGTGCATGCTTTTTATGTTATTCAATAGTATCGAACAATTAACTTGCAACAAGAAATTTTAAAACTTTTAAATATTCTGCCTCCCTTCGTTTTAAGTATTCAACGCTAAACATCACGCGAAGTAATAAAAAAAGTTTCCGTAATAGCAGATCGTTATGTCACATAAAAAAACGCCCGTGTGGACACTTGGCATATTCACACGTTTTTGTTATCAGTTATAGCTTAAAACATCACTATACTTACGTTGGCATGGACTATATAGAATTCATCGTTAGGCATAGTCCTTAATTTTACAGGTAAAGAAGTTTTCAAATTGTTAACATTGATATTTACCAATTAATTTGTAAAAAATATTAATTACAAATACATTAATTTAAAATAACAAATATTGATTGTGATAAAATTTGTATGTTTTAAAT